TTTTATCTTCCATGTTTCAGAAGCTTCCTTTTGCATCATAGCATATTTGCCATTAAGTTATTCTAAGCCTTTTTTTTTAGCTTCTATTTCTCTAATTATGAAACTCATGAGCAAAACGCTTTCTTTGGAGTCCCTCTCCTATGTTATACCAGGAGTTTTGCACCCATTTTGATTTTTACTGGTCCACTCCTTTGGTTCTGTTAATGGAATTTGGGTTTTTATATCTCAATTACTGTTATTACAGTATCTATTTTTATATTATATGTATGTTTGCTTTCAAAATGAATTTTTGCATCTGTATACACTTTTATAACAATTATTTAGACTTAGCTGTCTTTCCATGGTTTCCGGTGGTCCCTGCTCAGCTGTCATGACCTTGGCTATGAAGTTTGTCATCATTCTAGATGGGCTGACATAGGACTTCAAGGATTAACTTCTAGAAGGGCACATGGCTAGGACATCACGCATGGGAAAAGGTCTCCCAGCGGTTCCACTGTCTCTGGGATTAAATGCTGCAGAGGAGTTGAGGTGGCCTAGTTTTTGTGCATTTGTGGGAAATTTGCTTTTTTCTGGCTTACATACTTGTAGATTTTCTCCTTTATGTTTTATTTCAAAACTTTTGCCATAATGTATCATAGTATGAGTCTCTTTATACCAATTCTGCTGGGATGTGCAAAGGCCAGCTAGTCTGCACATACAATCTGCACGTTTCCTTATGAAATTGTTGATTTTGTAGCTACAGCATGGTTAAAGATTGCAAATTTTGTATGGTACAACCTAGCAGTTCTCTCTTGAGCCCACTTAAGTTTGTCTCCTATTTAAAAAATTAAAATTCGTATTTGAGAACAGTTGTAGATTTACAGAAAAATCACAAAGACAGTATAAAGAGTTCTCATAAGTCCCTCACCCAGATTCTTCTATTATTAACATCCTATGTTAGTGTGGTACATTGATTATAATCGATGAGTCAATATTGATTCATTGTTATTAGCTAAAGCCCACACTTTATTCAAATTTCCTTAGCTTTTTTTCTCTAATGTCCTTTTTCTATTCCTGAATCTCATCCAGGATGGCACATTAGATTTATTGTCATGTTTCCATAGGCTCCTTTTGACTTAGGTATTCCTTATTTTTGAAGACAGTTTTGAGGAGTATTCATCAGGTATTTTGTAGAATAGCCTTCTACTAGAATTTGCCTGATGTTTTTCTCATGGCTAGGCTGGGGGAAGACTACAGAGGTAAAGCACTCTTCTCATCACATCATTTCAAGGGTACATCCTATCCACAGGACTTACCACTGTTGATGTTGACCTTGATCACCTGGCTGAGGTAGAGTTTGTCAGGTTTTCCATTGTAGAACTATCCGCCTCTCCTTTCACACTGTACTCTTTGGAAGGAAGTCACTTAACAAGTGGGTAGTTCTGCTCCACCTCCTTGAGTATGAAATATTTACATACATTTTTTGGAATTCTTCAGCATAGGAGATTTGTCTATTCTCTCCCATTTATTTATTCAATTATTCATATCAGTATGGACTCATGGGTATCATTTTATACTTTGGGTTATAATCCAATACTACTGTTATTTTATTGCCCAAATGCCCCAGCTCTTTCAGGTGGCTGCTGTACTCCTCCAACCCATCCCATCAGTGAGTGGTGGTGTTGTTCTGAGCACTTCCTTCCTTTCTGGCATGACAGGATATTCCAGGATCATCTTGTCTATTTCCTGTCCCAGCCCTAGAATTAGTCACTGCTCCAAGGGACTCTTGGTTCCTTTTCACAGAAAATGGTATTAGAAACCAACATCTGGGTACTAGGTGTGCGTGCAGATACTGGGGTACCTGTTTTGTTTTTTATTTTGGTTCTGTTTCATTAGTCCTGATTTTACCTTAGGATCTCCCATCTCAGCATCCGTACCTGTTATCTTTCTTCACATTGGATGGATCTCTTTTTCCTCTGAATTCAGGGAAAGCATCTCAAGTTTGTCCTCCATATTATTGATTTTTATTTTCCTTGGCATTAACTCGGCTCTTTATGACCCTCAAAGGAGATTTTTATTCTGCTGTTTGCGTTTAGTTTTCTTGCTTGTCCTCTGTACCTCCTTCTCTATCTTATCCCACAGTAGACCAGAGATCTGGTTTTTCTCTGAGCTTTTCAGAAGTTACTTTTCCTTGTGCTTGAGTATTTTCTCCTGTGTCCTCTGTTGGCTTTGTCTGTCCAGAGTTGGTGTTTTACTTACACACACTCAACAAAGCTTTGAGTAAATTAGGTTTGGTTCTGGGTGATTAGGGAATAAAAGAGTGATCATGATAGACAGAAATGCTCCACAAACAGAAATCCTAGTTGTGGGAGACAATGAAGCAACTAGGTAAAAGGGGGAGCAGGTCAGATGTTATGGGTTGAATTGTGTCCCCCCAAAACATGTTTAAATTTTAACCCCTAACACCTCAGAATGTGACCTCATTTGAAAACAGGGTCATTGCAGATGTAATTAGCTAAGATGAAGTCATACGAGAGTAGGCTCGGCTCTTAAACCAATGTGACTATGTGACTAGTGTCCTAATAAAACCATGTGAAGAGAAAGGGGGAAAATGCCATCTAAGGCAGAGATTGCAAGCCAAGGAACGCCCAAGATTGCCGGTGACACCAGAAGCTAAGACAAAGGCATGTAAGAGCTCCAGAGCCTTCTAGAGCCCACATCTGGACCTTGGACTTCTAACCTCCCGACTGTGAGAGAATAAACCTCTGCTGTTTTAAGTTGTCCAGTTTGTGGTACTTTGTTTTGGCAGCTCCAGGAAATGAATACAGAGGTCCATCAGTGAGACAGGAAAAGAAATGAGCAGAAGGAGGACGTGGGCGTGGGAGGGACAGGGATTACATTTTAAAGGACGCCTTCAGGAAAGAGAAATGTCTGGGAAAAGGGGACCATTCAGCAAAGAGGCACAAGAAGGAGCCATGTAGGTTCTGGGAGATGGGTGCTCCACTCAGAAGGAGCCCTCTGCCAGCAGACCGAGCATGCTGTCCTTGGCCCTGCTCTCCCAGGCTTATGTGACCTTGGAATCCTTTCTCAAAACCGCAGCTGCGCGGGGCCGGGGGGAGAAAGCTGGGCCCTGGTGTCGCCCAGATCTAGGTGTGAAGTCCAACCCACTGCTTTCCAGCTGAGTGACTTGGGGGTGAGTTCCTTAACTTTTTTGAGCCTCAAGTTCCCCATTTGTGAAATGGGGATACAAAATTCCCTCTGCGCAAGGGCTCTGGGGAGGACTAACTGAAAGAGTGAAGGTCAAGGGCTCGGCACAGGGGCCTAGCTCCCTGGTCAGTGCACTGGAAAGACAGGTTTCTGTTTTCATCGTTGTTAATATCACTCACGCTTCTGTTGGAGCTGGTTGATGAGCAGAGCACCCAGTTCCATCTCCAGTTTCTTGTAGACTTTCAACTAGTGCTTCTGCTCCACACACAAAGGCTCTTTAAACTTTAAAGCCTGCAGAACTCTGCAGGGCCTCTGAGGCACAGGAAGCTATTTCAAGTGCCCACCCTGGGGAAACACTGCATGTGGCAGGAGAATGTCAGCTCAGCACGAGGTCCCCCACCCCTCCACTCCAGGTGCTCCCTGCAGAGCAGGCATTCCACCCCTTGGGTCCTCCAGCCCCTACACAGCCTGACTCAACCTTCAGACCACCCAGCCTGCTGGGGACGAGCTTGGGCAGATCTGGCCCCAGCTACCTGGGCTGCCAGCAGGCCCTGCCTCCCTACTGTTTCCTCATCTGCAGAGGCTCTCAGAGTTAAAATGTCATATGCAGGTGTGGTTTCTGTTCCCAAGTAGGTGACACACAACTGGTGCTCTGCTTCCCTTGCTCTCCATCTCTGGACCTCGATCTCCACACCTCTCAACTGCGAGCTTTGGAAGCGCTCTAAACTGCCACCTGCTCTGGCTAGTGTAACCTGGGACTTGCCCAAACAGAAGGGACACGTCACTCCATACCAATGACTTTCACCATGGGCATGAGGGAATGGAAGAGAGAGCAAGAAGAAGGTGACAGCTTAACTCTGTCTGTGTCTGCTGACGAGCTCCTAGTAGCTTCCACTGGCCTCAGGATGAAAGACCAGACTTCTTAGTGTGGCATTCACAGCTCATAGAAACTGGCTCCACACTGTTTCCAGCTTCAGCATCTCTCCCCTGGTCCCATCCCTGATACACTAGCCTCCTGGGATTCCTTATGATCTCAAAGGGTGGTGAGCACAACTGTCTTGCCTTCTGATCTTCACCCCTCTTCCTGGCTGGGCTCCTACAGGTCCCCATCCTGCTCGTCCTCCATGGCCAGGCTCAAATGCTGCCCTTTGTCTGAACCCTCTCCCAGGGCAGGGTGAGTCGCTTCCTCACTGGTTCTCAGACCCTGTAGTTCCTGATTCCCGTGAGAGGTATCTGCCTTCCTCACCAGCTGCAAGGGACCTGAGGACAAGAGCAGGCCTAATGGTGTCTGTGAGCCCAGAAGAGGAGGGTCTGGCACCAACAAGGTGTTTGAGAGCTTGCATAATGAACAGACACGTGACAGGAACTACTCACAACTGGGCCGACTTCTATTGGTCCTTTCTGTTCCTAGAGTGAGTGTCCCTGGAGGGGGTCGGGAGCCTGGGCTTTACTTCCAACAACAGTACTTCCCTGCTGTGGTTTTGAGCCCAACAATTCCTCTCTCTGAGCCTCTTTGCAACAGAGATGATGCTAATTTGTGCCCTGCTTGCCCTCAGACTGGGTTGACAGATGTAACATCACTGAGTGAGCTCTCCATGCCTGTGCACCTGGCACCCAAACCTTTGGCCAGTGCTGGACAATAAGCAAGAGGAAAGCCAAGGGAAGCCAGCTCCTGGGAGCTTCTCCCCACGTCTGAGAAGCCAAGGATGAAATGAAACAGCTCAAAATTGAGGGTTTTTCATAGTCAAGGGGTGCGGGGAACCCCAGGAGCATGGCGTCGGCCTGTCCTCCAGGCTGTGGGCAGCTGCACCTACCTTAAGCTTCTTGACACTGGTGCAAGGATCATTGGAGAAGCTCTCCGTGTCCGAAATCTCGATGTCCTCACCATACAGAACCCCGGTCAGGTCGTTCCTCACCTGTCAGCAGAGAGAAAGCAGAGGGTGGATATGCTGGTGGCCATAGAAAGGGCCGGTGCAGAGAGTATCCTGGGAAAGCGACGGAAATGGGTGAGGCGACTTTCTCCGCCAACATGGGAAAGGAGTGGCTTTTATCTTCATTGTATAAACCAGAGGGCCCCGTGGGGTCTTAGAGATAGCCCAGACCCATCCTGCCCTTCACACACAGGTTTTAGGCGGCCAGACGGAAGGGGCTTGCTCAAGTTGATCAGGAATTTCCTGGAAGAATCAAGATAAGCATCCAGGCCTCTGGGCTTGCACGGTGGTGGTTCTCCACAGCCTACACTGTCTTCACATCAGACTAGTCCAGTGTATCTTGACAGTATTTATATTTTGCAATCTTTATTTGCAATATTACTTCACTTCTAGGGTGAAGAAACAGCCACGGCATTCAGACAGACAATGCAGAGTAGAGGACAGAGTAAGGGGTTATGCAACCAGCCTGTGATGTCAAGCATAACTACGTGTCTGCTGAAACACAGAATGACTAACATCTATGTGCTTGGAAAGCAGAGGGCTGAAAACTCCAGTGTGAATCCGGACCAACCAGCAGTGAAACAGCCTGTGTGGAATACATTAGTGAGTGGTGAGGACTGTGGCAAACTGCTGACCACAGGCCTCCTCTAAAAATGGCGGTTGTCGTTCGGCCCCAATCATGCTATGCCAGAATGGTGGTCCAGAGTTACAAGACCTTCTGATTTGGGGGGCTGAAACTGGAAGCCTAAATTTTTAAAATATAAGATCCCCCACATTCTAAAATGTCGATGCCATTTTGAATTAAAAGAAAGTAAGGGCCAAAACAAGTAAATATGAAGTCTGTATCGGGGCCATGGTTATGGGTGTGCACTCGCTGACATAAAGTAATGGAAAGTGGATTGTGTGTTTTAGTAGAAAGAACTGGGTGAAGGTTGTGGGACCTAGGTTCCAGGTACTGCTCTGTCACTGACTTGTCTGTGACCATGGCCTCTCTGTGTGACCCTGACCCTCTCAGGGCTTCAGTTTCTTCCTCCTGAAGAGAAGATGATCCTTAAAAGCAGTTCTTGTTCACACCTACTAGGTGTGAAGAGAAAACAGCAGGTGCTGATGAGGATATGCAGAAATTGAAACCTTTGTGCACTGTTAAATGTACAATTACTACACGATCCAGCAATCCCACTTCTGGATATATACCCAAAAGAACTGAAAGCAGGTACTCAAAGAGAAATTTGCATACCCATGTTCATAGCAGCACTATGCACAGTAGCCAAAAGCTGGAAGCAACCCAAGTGTCCATCCACGGATGAATGGATAAACAAATTATAGTTTATACATACAACAGAATATTATTCATCCTTAAAAAAGAATGAAATTTTGATATATGCTACTCCATGAATGAACCTTGAAGACATGCTAAGTGAAATAAGCCAGATGCACAAGGAAAAACATTGTTTGTTTCTACTTATATAAGGTGCCTAGAGGAGTCAAATTCACAGACACAGAATGTAGAGCAGGGGCTCCAGGGAGCAGTGGCTGTGAGAGGAAACAATGCAGTTACTGTTTAATGGGTACAGAGTTTCTGCTTGGGATGAGGAAAACATCCTGGATATGGAGAGTGGTGATGGTTAGACAATATGAATGTACTTAATGCCACTGAACTGTACACTTAAAAATGGTTAAAATGGTAAATTTTATGTTATGTATATTTTACCATGATAAGAAAAGCACAGTTGTTTCAACAATTGGTGGACTCTTCCAATGTACATAGCAGAATGTTTTAAATAGTTTGACCCTGGATGTCACAGGATGGTCACTGGAAAACCACCAGCACGGTAGGGGAACAAAGGGGCTTCAATGGGAACTGCAGTGCTTTATTTCTTTAAAAAAAATATGGGCAAAAGGTGAACATGAATTAATTTTGGGTAGCAAGCCTTTGGGTGTTTGCTGTTCTGTGCTTTTCTGAATGCTTGAAATACTCCGTGATAAATGTTTTGTACAAAGAATGAAACTGCCACAGTCAGGGTGAAGCTTGTCCGTCCTTAGTTTTTACTTCTATTTTAATGGAAGATTGGAAACTAGTTGTATGAAAACAAGTTGACTTGGCCATCACAGTTTATTTCTGCTGCCTCTAATTCTTTCTAGATGCAGCGGGGGGGTGGGGGGGGGTGTTCCCTTATCTGTTTTGTGTGTCATGAGGGTGTTGTGCAGCCACAACAATCATTAGACACAGAAAACGTGCCACCTTGCCCCTATCGGAAGGCAACACAGCTCAATGCGCACACTGCTGGGTCTGCACTGTCAGGGCCCCGCTCTCCACATGCGTGCCACCCAGATTTTGGGAAACTGCTTGGGCTCTTGAGTCTCAGTCTTTTCACCTCTAAAATGGGGGCAATACAGCATGTAACCTTCAAGGCTGTTTCAGGGCCCAGCAAAAACACTGAAGCTGTGGAATGGCTTGGTAAACTCGAAAGTTCTTTACAACGCCTAAAAGCTGGAAGGATCATTTCCAGTCATAAGGCAAGGAGTCAAGGCGGTCAGTGGCTTGGGGTATCTATCTTCATATAAGTGTGTGCTTGAAAGCTGTATATAATTATGGCAGATAAAATATCTTATAGATGGTCAGAACTCAAAACAAACAAAACCAAAACACCCTAGAGGTCATCTCATTCTGCCCCTGATTTCTCACATGAGCAAACTGCGCTGTGTCCCCCAGTCCAGGGCTGTGCACGCTCGCAGGCTGGTTCTTCTGGGAGCTGCCAGATGTGGATGGTTCCCGAGGCCTGATGAGCCAGCACAGCTCAGAAAAGATGGTCGGTGCAATCAGCTACCCACTGCCCATAATTTCAGCACCAAGAAGTCTGTGCTCAGCTCGAATATTTATTCTAATGGACTTTTTAAGGGAAAGCAAATGGAGGAAACCAGTAGTAAATGGTATTTTAAAATAACCAAAGCATTGAAAAGAAATAATGTAATTGATCTTCCTCACAAGGAAAAAAAAATCCACACCTTCACACGTGGATGGAAGGATCATTCAATACACTGGTCAGAGATGTACTAAGTAAATTTGAAAAAAAAACAAAAACAAACCAACATACCATTTTTTTTCCTTTTTGAAGTTGCAGGTATCTCTTGTTCAATGGAGCCAATGTCTTTTGGTGGTTTGCTATAAACTGCATTTCTGCAAAGTCAATCCTATGTTTTTATTCACCTCCATTATAAAAGCAGACGTATGTTCTGAGAAAGGAGTAACCCTTAATTCCCAAGAAAATAAAATACGCACACTACACATATATTTAAGTATAGTCGGGGTCCCATTGGAGGCCTAATTTCCATATTGGGCCCAGGGAGGGAGCCGCCAGGGGCCTGATTTGCTGAAAGGCCTCGGCCATCCTGGGAGGAATGGAGAGAGATAAGTGCTGATGGGCAGAAGGGGGACAGAGAAGAAGGCTGCCCCATCACCTGGAAGGGAGGGCCAGGACTGCCAGGGGAGCAAGGGAGACCACGAGCAGGGCCCCCAGTGCTGCTAGAAGGGGTGTCAAGAGGGCTTGAGTCCTTCAAGGCCCAGGGGCTTGGGGCCAGCTCACAGGGCTGAGGTCGCCTGAGGAAGAACTCTCCTTGTTTCAGAGCAGTAAATCCGGGCGCTGGCAACCGGAGCAAATCTACAAAGAGCCTAAATCATTTGGCACCACGGAGAGGCATAGGTGGGCCACAGCCCCAGGAATAAAGAATCTGGCATGGGTGTGGAGGTAAGAGCTGTTGACTTTTTTCCCCCAATAGCTGGTATGGACTGTGGATATGAAGTCATACCAGAAAGCACGTTCCTAAAGCAGTGGTTCTCGAAGTGTGGCCCCTGGACCAGTAACACCAGCATCACTGGGAACTTGTCAGAAATGCAAAACCTCGGGCCCCACTCCAGACCTACAGAATCAGACCTTCTGGGGTGAGGTCCAGTAGTCTATGTTTTAATCCATCCTCCAGTTTGCACACTCAAGTTTGAGATCCACTGTCCTAAAGGAAGCAGGATAAATTTTAAGCAAACCATTGGTAATGGTGTGAAAAAATGTTTTTAATGGCTTGAATATTTTTTCCCCTTGATTAGGAGACCAGAATGTGTTAGTTGAGTAAGACAATTACCAAAAGAGTGAGTTGGACTGGGAATCGCATCAAAAAAGGTATCACATCTAGAATGAAGGAGGGGACAGCCACCCTCTGGGTCTGTCCATCTCACACCAGACTTGGGGTACTGAGTTCAATTCTGGTTGCATTTATCAGGGATAGTGACAAAGTGGTTCAGGCTCAGAGGAGAGAAGTGTGCCTAGGACAGGAACCAAGGACCCTTCAGGGGTGACATGGACATGGCGGTTGAGGAGTGTAAAGGTCACAAGGGGTGACATCAATGACTCCTCAGGCCCCTGGTGCAGCATTGGGAATTGAAGATCCAAATCCAAGAATTTTAACAAGTGAACTCAGTTTTCAATTCTAGGGAAGCCCGATGTTTTGAAAGAAGTCAAGAGCCAGGTAGAATCGGTGGTTCTGGAAGAAAGCCCAGAGCCCTGGGGACAGTCCTGCTTAGGGTGAACAGGGAGAAAACGCCATCAGGTCGGAGCAGCCATACGAATGGCAGATCCTATGAGTCTGCACGGGTTCACGGGGCCGTGGGGGAATGGGTGACAAGGACTTGTCACTCCAATGAAGGCATCACGATGGCCTTGCGCCTCCAGCTGACTGAGCGCACAGCCTCCATCCACACAGCAGGCATCGGGCACACACAGCTGGGCTTTATCCTTCCTGTGGGATGCCAGGGGAGAAGCGGGCAGGTTGGAGGAGGAAAAGGAGATGAGGGGAAAAGGTGGGAAGCTAAAGGAACCGGGAAAGGAACAGACTATTTGGAAGAATTTTCTGGCTTAGTATATAACTCAGTCCATTGGACCCATGTTAAGTGTAATGTGGGTCCACCCTGTTCCATCAGGGAGGCTTGTCACCAC